AAATCCATTTACCATTATTGCCAAGTGTGATAGAGAGCCTTGATTTGATACCAGCTTGAAGGACGGGGTCTTTCAGCTGTCGTGGCTTGTGTTTACTCACACTCTCAAATTGCCAAAGGCCTGTTGCTGGATCAAAGTGCTGTGTAATGCAAAATAAAAATAGTTCTCAATTAATAATATTAAAAGACCTGAATTCCTATTTCTTAGAATATAAGAGCACTTCCATGAAACCCGTAGAAACTCTAGGAAACAAGTGCCGCAGAGCGACAGGGCTCATCTGGTGGCTGGTGTTCTGCTGATAAATTCATTTGTGCATAGCAAGACGTCCTATACATACGTTCATTTCTAACTCAAAAAAAACAACACTTCAAACTAGTGTAATAGAATTCCGATAGATGGCGGGCCGCTATCAATAGCAGCTGTCAGTGTGACGACGAATTGCAAAAAGCAGGAGCGAATAATTACCATATTATTACTATACATAACGTGCGTTCTATGGTGTCAGGTAATAAGGTACATTAAACCCCTTGCGAGGCACATCTGGCTCGTTAAAAAATAGCTCAATGGTTGATACAACCAGAGCAGCTCGTGCAAGATTACAATTTACAGCAATACGATAGCAAATATCTGTAAACTAATTTTAGTACAAGGTAGGCCAGTGATTAGTGGACCGAATAAGCTCAAGAACGTACACACTTGCGTCTATATTGGTGCCAAAATTTGATGAGAAAATTAAGTCTGGGAAATCCGCAGCCTCACTCCTGGGTAATTATTTGAGTGCTAGTAACTGTATTCCAACTATTCATAATGTACACTACAGAATCTCATATATTATAAGTCATCTCATTATCTCCTAAGTAAGCGTTGTTCAAGTAAGAGTTATGTGTGGAATTTCACTGTAAAATGAGAGTTTTCCACAACCACAGGTACTCGCCAACGCAGTTGAGAAACAAATCAATGTTTAACCCTCCTCTTGAGGGTCAAAAGGTTATCTGACACTTATTCTTCGCATGTCAGCAGAAAGTACATTTCATGGTTCTTTCAATAAAGCCATAAAAATGCTAGGTCACCGCTGAAGTTTTTCAATCGCTCCGTCAGACCATGTCCTCAGAAAATGTCTAAAATCTGCCCTGTGCCCCATTGACCTTTGACCTGTGACCTCCATTTTAGGCACAGTGGTGGCTTTTCCTACCATGATGCTATACACCGACTATCACGAGCCTAGGTCGAGCCATTTAGATTTGTGCCGCAATTCTGCATTTCCTCCCTATACCTTAAGTTAAGGAAAGAATGTTCCCCTTTCTTTTACACTTCTTGACCTTTGACCTTTGACCCCCAGCTTCGACATCCCAACTCGTTTTGACGATCCCCCCCAACGTCCCAAATATCGTGACTGTACGTCAAGCGGTTAAGATTTGTACCCAACTGTTGACGGACGGACGCACGGACGCACGGACGCACGGTCATGCGATTCTACAAGCTGCATCGGACTATGTCAGATGAGCTAATAATAATTCATGCCACACATCAAATGATTTTTATTTTATTTAATTATACAGTGAATTACCGGCAGACTAGGAATAAATGCATTGTACATCATTCATGTTCAATCTGTCATGGGATTTAGTTTTGTGATTAGCCCACACCATAATGGAAAACACCATTCTTGGTAACTATTCGTTACCTTTGCGGTAGTTTCAGGTTCCTGCAGTTCAGTTTTAAATGGGAAGACTGCGGGTGGTGGGTCTTGATGGTTCTCATCGTCTTCACTGTCAGAGTTATCAGCTCTACTAGGAAGGTCACACAGTTCACTCCACAGTTCACGATTTGCATCCATTGCTTGCAGGTGTGGGCAGTTGGATAAATTTGAAAGCAACTTCACTTTCCTCGTATGGCCCTTGGTAGCATTACATTTGCCACTCTGGCAAGAGATCCTGCCATTTTGGAGTGTAACTAGACTACACGACCTTGTGTCCCTCGACAACACAGAGAAACGGTGATTTTGACTATCTGAATCTAGTCTCACAGCAGCATGGTTGACTGTCTTCATGGCATCAGTGATCTTCTTGGTGACTGGAGTAGAGTAGCAGGTAATGTCTCCAGAAAAAAGCGAGTCATACACAGGCTCAATATGTTCTATGAAAAATCGCACATGACAGCATTGTGGACTACCACTACCATCAGCTAACTGCATTGTAGCACATGTGCTGAACATTTTGCACGTACAGCTGTATGCCACATTTCCTGTGTTTCTAGATTTGCCCCGACATAGGTGAGCAAACTGATTTTTCTGAAAAGTTGCTGACTCCAGGTTAATGTCATTCAATACCACGATGTCGTGATCAGTGCTATGAACTCTCCATTTAAGCACTCCAGCGCTGCTAATCAGATTGTGCTGAAACTGAAGGTATGGAGTTGTTTCTGGCATTACATGATCATCCAGCTCCGGAATTTCCAACTGCTCATCCACTTGAGGTGAATTAACCCTTTTTGTACGGATTGATCCTGCAGAATCATCTGATCTCTTCTGCTTTAGGGGCAGGTGATAGTGACCCAAAGAGGCGGGAATATTTTGGTTTTCCTTCAAGCGCCAAAAGTACAAAACTCTGTGCCGCACTGATGTAGGGGTGTACTTGGATCGAGCATTACAAGTATCGTCTGCAGTCAAAGTCCCCGTGCTGAAGTATGCACAGTGGTGCACATGTGCTCTTCCATCTGGAGCTGAATCATTGCTGAGCAGATTGATCACCAGCTGCTGATCTGCCAGTTGAAGCGGCCGATCTTCATGATGGAGAGCGTAGTCAGAGAATGTCGTCCTCTCAGCAAGAGGTCGATGAAGACGGTGATGACTTGCTGCTTTTTGTAACTCCTGGTTGTCCACGTAAATGCCAGTCTGGACGTGGTAACTGAAAATGGTGCAGAGGTTCAATTTCAAAGATATTGGTAAATTGTACAGTGATGGCTCCTAACCATTAATCAACTAGTTCGCGATCTTCTTACATGAATATCCGAAAAGACTACTGCCTTACATTGCTGCATAAAACGTTTTGTGGGTGCAGGTGATGCATAAGGTACACGTTAAGGTGTATCCCCCAGAGATGGGAATACCCACAGGAGAATTCTTTTTAAGATAGGCTCCAGATGTAAGTTGAACTCAGTGACAAATTATGGCAGGTTATGCTTTACTAATACCATAATAACAATTATTATTATAAGTCAAACTAAATACCTCGGCTTTTGGTCAGTATTCTGAAGGTGAAGCCGATGTTGTTTTCTCACTATTATCACCACAGTGCCAAGCAACTTAATGGCGCTATCTTCAGATGAAGAGGTCTGTAGTTTTTGGTGAGCAACTTGCACGCTCTTCTTGTTAGGATTGCCCCCAGCTACAAGTTGATTCCAACGTCTGCCCGTTGCTGGTAGTGTTTTGGTGGCACCTATATAACATGTTAACAAATTTCAAGGATTTGAAGAAAACAAGCATTTTACTAAAGAAAAGCGAGTATGCAAACACTACTGTTAAGTGTTGTAATACATGTCTGGAATAGCCTAGTTAGCCACTAGGTGGCGACACGTGGTAATAGATGGATGTAACGTACACGTGTAGACACGAGGCAGTTGGGCAGTGGACAGGGCACGGAGCACACGTGTGTGTAGCTGATTAAATGCTTGTGTAAACGTTCTCCACTGGTTCGGGTTTTGGCTATGACTTCGTGGCTGTGCAACTACTATATTTGAAAACCTTTCGGTTTTTGCTCTTCGGTTCGGTTATTTTCAGTAGTAAAACTGCTGAGAAAAAGGGGACATTTTTCCTCCATTTTGAATAATAATGATGCCTATCATAATATTATACATTTATTGTGTTATTCATTGGCCAAAAGACAATAAAGTAATGCAGTTCAAAGATAATAGTCATAATACTATTCATTAAAGTGATCTACCTGACAACGATAGACTATTAGACTAGTATACGTAGTCGTATACGTCTAAGACTACCCCATGCAGTCCACCTGGGTAGTGACCAAGTAAAAGTTAAGTTAGTTTCATATTCTGCTTCAGGAAAATTAGAATATCCACCTGGTCAGGTGAGAGACAAGACCTCTGAGCAGTGACTATATGTTCCCTGCTGTACTGAATACTCTCTCACTGGCCACTGATGTGGCTGGAATACACATACTGTTTTGCTAGGCTAGCCAAAAGAGGATACTTGAATTCATGCCCTTGCCACCAGAGTAAGGGGTTTGAGTCAAGTTCCTCAGTTGATTTAGATCTATATTCACTAATCTATAAATTCACCCTGTCTTGAAGGGTTTTGCTGGGGGACTTCACTTTGGTGATGAAAACATCCCCAACGTGGCATATGCACTTGTGTATACATAAAGCGATCATTGATTGGCTCGCGCTTGCAGGGCCACATTGCAATCGTTGATTGGCTGGCGCTTGCTCAGCGAGCCAATCACATGCTGGGTCTTGTTTCCCCGACACCCTGGCATGGTCGCACTTCATTGTTTGTAACTGAGAGTGGGTTGAATGTATTTTCCAGAACCAAACCAAAAACCAAAACGAAAAAAAATACCGAAAACCGAACCGAACGGCATGTACCGTGATAGAGTTGAATCATGGTTAATCATTACACCCCTATTTACTAATACTTACAGGGTGCTGTTTCTCTTTTGAGCTTCAGTGAATCATTATAGAATTGGGCCCGAGCCGCTAAATCCTCACTGGTCATTGCTTGCCACTGTATATGTTCACACGCAGGTTGATGGACTTGCCACAGAGGAGCAGCAGCAGACACGAACCCTTCGAGCTCTCCACCATCCATCCACCGGGTGTACACATACCTGAACAATAATGCATAGAAGGAACTAGCAGGCCACAAATATAAAAAGTAAATGGTATACACACGACTAAGGCAGCTTTCAAAAGCTTAAACAATTAGTCGACTTAAAATTATTAATTGTAGTTGTACATGCAGTGCAGCGCATTCACGAGATAGAAAACACATTACATAATGCTTATGAAAGCATGCGGCTTCATATCTGGATATTGCGCGCTGCCCATGAGGGCCCAATTAGTGTAGCGGCTAGATATCTGGATATTACGCCCTGCCCCTAGGGATCAACGCGAAGGCATTACACATGCCTCGAAGGCATTACACATGCCTCGCGCATACGCCGTACATATTCGCGAGGACGTTGAGCCGTCCTAGTGACCTTGATCGGTTTATAATTGGCTTGTTGACGCCGATGCCGAGCCGTCCTAGTGGCCTTAATCGGTTTATAATTGGCTTGTTGACGCCGAAGCTGAGCCGTCCTAGTGACCTTAATCGGTTTATAATTGGCCTATATTATTCGGTTTATAATTCTCATGATACATTGTCCCTCGACTGGCACATCATGACCAGCATAAGCTGTCAATTTCACTTTGCTTGTGTGCAACTTGTGTTTACGTCTTATGGAGCAAAAGTCATATTCACTAATGATATTGGCATTAGCACCAGTGTCCAACTTCATAGGTAATACAGTACCATTAACGTCTAATGGAACTATCCAACTCTGTGATGTGTTAGCAGTGTTCACAGTATCAACAAAGAACTCGTCAGACTGTTCATTGTCAATGTCATACTCAGTCTCCACTGCATGAACCTTCTGTCCTTGCTTGCGTTTGTCTGAGTTTGGGCAACATTTGATAAAATGTCCAATTTTCCCACACCTAATACATTGTTTACCATAGGCTGGACAGGCATTTGGTCGGTGCCTGTACCCACAAAACTTGCAACTATCCTTTTTCACCTCTTGGTTGCGAAAAAGTTATGTCCCTTTTACTCGTCACTAGATTTCGGCTGTCGCTTGTATACAACATCACACGATGTACAACTACCACTAGCACCCGCTGCTTCGCCACTCAACTGACCAACTTGTGAAAGGGTGGCCTCTTCCGCCCTACAAATGTCGATGGCTTTCGCCAATGTTAACTTCTCCTCACGCAGAAGGCGTTGTCTCAGTGTGTTACTTGGTATCCCACAAATAACTCTATCACGTCTAAAAAAACGTCTCGTCACTCTAAATAAACTAATCAAATTTACACGTCTTTGCTCGCGTGCGTAATTCAGTCACAAAATGATCTATGGGCTCACTGGGTTTCTTTACTGTTGTGAAAAACCGGTGTCTTTCGAACGTCACGTTCGTTATCGGGATACAATAGTCCTTGAACTTCAAACGGATCTTGGCCAGATCATTTGCGTCACCTGCTTCGGCCCACGTGAAACCATTATAAACTTCCATGGCTGGTTCCCCAATCACGTGTAGGAAGATAGCTGTCTGTATCGCATCATCCTTCTTGGCCCCACCACTCGCCGCCATATACACATCAAACCTTTGCGTGAATCTTGTCCAGTTATCGCTGAGATTTCTCCCGGACAAAGCCAACGGCTGCGTAGGTTTTAGTGACTGCATCTTGTCGTCAGAGCAAACACGAACACTTCTGACACCATGTAATGTTATGTCTGTCTCTGACAATCACTAACAAGTGACAACCGGGTTCAAACATATAACGTGTATTCTGACGATCCAAATGTGTACAATATGGTGAACACTGACCGAGCAACTGACGACTGCGCATGTGTTGTGCGCAAGCATGGTATAGGGGGCGGTCCTAATAAAGTACAGTTCAATATGTAGGGAGCAGTCATTATGTTAAACTGTTCATATCATTACATCGTCACAGATGCAGATCATGATTGCTGGCTGGCTTCATCTAGTCTAAAAGAGAACGTGCCACAGCCTGCTCAGCTTCACATTTGCGTTGCTTCTCCTCATTCCACTGATGTACAAAGAACTGCAGGTAAAACATGAAGTGGCTCTGGTTCATTGCACGTGCACTGAATTTGATTTTCTGGATGTAGGAGTTAAACTGCTCACAGATCTCAGAGTTGATTCCAATGTTGAGACTGGTTATTCTGCGCGATTGATAAACAAAGGGGCATTTGTGAGTAAAGCCGTGAAATATGTCATGGAAGAATCGACAGCATCTCCAGAATTTTGGCTCTCTGTTTAAAGCGTACTCTTCCAGCTGGCAGCTGAAGTCGTAGAACAACTCAGTGGGGGCAGTCTCCATGTACATGTAAGCAGATGAGAAGGGATCTTTCCTCCCTTCACTTGCACTGATGATGTGAAACCCATAGCAGTGACCATGGAGAGGGTCAAACCACAAGAATAGATAGGTTGTTCCACTCTTGGACACTACTGGAAAACTCTTGTGGCATTCACTTGAGAAACAAAAGGCAAATCGCGCAGACGGCCACCATGTACAGTAAAATAGTATGCACATCCATGACGTTCAGGGTCATACGCCTGCAAGATGACAGAGCTGTCACCAGGCTCTTTGTCAGAAGAATGGATGGCTTCTATTTTATTAATAATGCTCTTTAGGAATTTTTTGATGTCTTCGAATTCGCCGTGCCATTTTGCTACCTGGATGAGGTTGTGTATCTCTGGCATGTCCTTTTGCAGCCCTCCAGGTTCTTCACTGCCAGTCAGCACAGCTGCAAGGCTGCCAACAAACCTGTAGTTGATGAGTGAAGACATGGGGCTGCTGGAAGAGAGCAACTTTAGAACAGGGCATAGTGCATGAATCACCTCCTGTGGGTATGCGACACTGACAAATTTAGATATAACCCGATGGCAGTCAGGGGTGGTGTTACTCAGTAAATGATGCTGTCTTGTTGTCTCATCTCTGCTTAATTTCATCCTCTTCTTTGATTGGGTTTCCCATTCTTTGAGGCAGCTGCTATTTTTTGCAATGAAGAATTGCAGATCTTCCTGTGCTTGCCGCATACCTTCCTTCAGCACTTCCGTGTCGGCGTCACTGTATGAGAAAAACTGTCTTGCTGTTCGCTTGTGTGTAGGTGTAATAACGGTTTCACTAGTTGGCGACTCAAAAACCTTCCATGTAGCATTTTTGAAAAATATTCCTAATTTGGTGCCATCACAGGCAAGGATCTGAGGATTGGTGCTGCATACATTGCATGCCCTCCGAAAATCAATTTGGAAATTCGCCATCCATGAGAAGATCCATTTTGTGAAGGTCTGTCGGCTCATGAATGCAACATTGGAGAAATAATACCTTGAACTGGCTATAGCACAATAGCCAGTGAGAGAAATCTGACTATTGGTGACTGTAGTCATGAAATCCCAGGCGATTTCTTCTCCTGCAGCTGTTTGAGGAGAGAGGATGTGGATGCCATCCTGGTCACCATCGTAACTGATGCGACAGGCTTCATTGCCATGTAGACATTCCCTATCAAACACCTAGATGTAAGAGAAAAATAAAAGATGAATATGCTGGATGTTTTATGTTAAGTGCTGTTCCATTTATTAAGGGGGCTCATAATAACCGAAACAGTCCTAAGTATATTACGTAAAATACTGGTGTTTTTTCCACAGCGGGCCCGCGACTGCTCTCGGTAAAGTTCTACTTATATGGCTTATTCATTATAATATAATAAAAGGGTTAATTATAGACTTACATGAATCCATCCTAAATATATAATATTGTTGCTTTCAATTATATCCAGAACCTGCCGTTCCCCAAGTTCTGTTACTTGGCAATGGTCACTCGCACCAACTTGCTCTGGTAGTATGAGATGGGTAACCTCAAACAGATTCTCCTAGAATAAATGCAATAGAAAAAGAATAATTGTAATTAACTAAAGGATTAAGAAATGTCTATTACTTATTGAGCAAGCATAGTAGGTGATTTTTTCTATTATACAATATGACATAATGGAACGAATGATAAACATGATATTCTATATTTTCTTAGACGGATATACACAAATTTTCATTTTATTTATGCAGTAGTGCTGCTCCAAGACCTTTCTCAGACGCATCGCATTGTATAGTGCATGATCTCCTTGTTCATGTCGTAGTATAAATAGCAAGATCGGGTGCAGTGGCACTTTGTGAGGTCTAAGCTTTTCTTTGCTAGGAGCTTCTCACCAACGTGGTCATCTCTAATACCGCACACAGTACGCGAGTATCACAGAACGAGACACACGAGTACGCGAAATCGGTCGCCCTCTGCGCCTTCTCTCTTCACAATATGCTCCCGCGAGCCGAAAGTTTGCCACACTCCGCTTGCCAAAACAATGAAAACACGCGAGAAATCTTGCGTGGCTTGCTGTACGATAGCCTTAGTACTGCCCCTGACCTGTCATTAAAATTCCTCCTTAATAGCAACATCGTTGTGTTAGTGAGATGTTTGTGAAATGAGGAAACTTAGCTACACTGTTAGAGAAAGAATCAAAAAGAGAGGGAGGATACAAAACTTTTCGCAAGTCCGTTATTTTGTCCAGTGTTCGCCTACCCACACACCGGCAGCGCGGCATAGCAACCAAACTCCAACAAACGCCACCCAAAGAGTTTTTATTATACCTCTAATTGGTTCCCACGAATACGCACTCGCCCGTAGTGGTGCTATGGATATGGGTAATGCTATCCCCCGGGCGTGGAGGGAGGTTACCGCAACATGGCAGCACTAGTGAGAGCCCTCATGGCCCAGTGGTTAGGCCACGTATACTGTCCACTGAAGGCTGTGAGTTCAAACCCCGGCCGGGGCAGTGAATTTTCTAAAGGTGGAAAAATTAACCTGGCTCTCAACATTGGAGACTGTGAATCTCCCGTGGCTCGGATGACCACGTAAAGTGGCGGTCCCGTCTCCAGTATTAGTAAATATAGTAATACTAAGACCAATGGGGACGTAAAATAACCACCGAGGGCGCAAAAAAACTCTGGCTGTGACCACCCTCAGTGCCATTTGGCTAAAAAAGGCTAACTACCTGGCTGTACCCAAGCTAGGTCACACACCATGGCTAGCTATAGCCCTGGACGTTTATTCCTTACGGGCTGTCCAGTATAGAAGTAGAAGTAGAAGTAGTGTTAAGATTAGGGTTAGGGTCAGGGTCAGGGTCAGAGTTAGGGTTAGAATTAGGGTTAGGGTTAGAATTAGGGTTAGGGATTGGGTTAGGGTTAGGGTTAGAGTTAGGGTTAGGGTTAGGGTTTTTGCATCATGATATCTGTCCCCACACCATAGATTAATTTTTGAGGATTTTTGGACCTATATATAGCGCTCCGAGAAATATATGTTTAGTGTTATGGTTAGCGTTGGAGATGTTGGAGTTAGCGTTTCCGGATGAGTAATGTTTTTGAAGTATACGTCAACGGTATCACGTGACGTACCCTCCCTCCTCGCCCGGGGATAGCAACACCTTATGGATATAGCGTCGTTACGCCATCTATTGGACGCCATATGTACTACACTGATGTACACTCATGTCCACTGATGTTAAAAAAAAGTAAAAGTCCGTTTTTGACAAGAGAAAGCGCGCCGACTAGCCAAAAATTTTGTACGAGCATTTGTAGGAAATGTCTACCTACCTGGGTACTGAACGCCGTCGTGCAATGGCCAGAACTGTAACAGATTGATGCATATACTCGTAGTTATGACGTCACGCGCAACTCGTTGTTATTGTCCACTCAGGTTCGAGTAATAAATTGGGCCCGGGAGATTCTCCCTCTCTGGACTTCCATGCCCGTAAACAGTGTCACGCTTTTACATGGTCTCAGAAGTTGTGGTATTTACGCGAGACCATGGAGCATTTAAGGCCTCCAGAACAGGTCAGGTTTGACGGGAATGTTGCAGAGAACTGGCAGAAATCGGTTGAACAGTGGAGGGTCTATGCGACAGCCACGGAAGTCGACAAAAAGCCGGCGGCAACGAGAGTTGCTATCTTACTTCATTGTACCGGACATGAGGCACAGGAAATTCACAGCACATTTGCCTGGGATAACGAAGTAGACAAGGAAAGTGTCAACATAGTATTGGCGAAATTCCAGCAGTATTGTGAGCCAAGAAAGAACACTGTGTTTGAACGGTATAAGTTTTGGGAGCGCAACCAGCACGAGGGAGAGACTACCGATCAGTGGGTCACTGATTGGAGGACTCGTGCTGCATTGTGCGAGTTTGGAGACTCCCGTGATCTCATGATCAGGGATAAAATTATGTTTGGTGTGGCGGATGACCGGATTAAAGAAAGGCTACTTAGGCTCATAGGGTCTATGTCCCCCAGGGTACTGCCGGAACGTACCCTGGGTACGGTCCGGTATACCGGAACGTACCCTAGTCACTATTTAATATGGTTAGGGTTAGGATTAGGGTTAGGGTTAAGGTTAGGGTTAAGGTTCGGGTTCGGGTTAGGGTTAAGGAGTAGGCGTAAGCGACTCTCTAGACTCGTTAGTGGAGTAGACGAAGTACGGTCCGGCATATTAGATAGTACCAGGGTACGTTCCGGCAGTACCCCGGGGGACATAGACCCTCTCAGCGCTACTTAGGGAGAAATATCTAACGCTCGACAAGGCTGCGGACATATGCAGGGCAGCTGAGGTTAGTAAAGTATACTTACAGTCTATGAGCGCTAGTAGTAGTGCTATGGCTAGCGTGCACGCCTTGCACAAAACCGCGGGAAAACTGGCTTGGCACAAGCAGAGCGCGGCAGGTTTCCGGGCAAGCCAGAAAGTGCACAATCTCACAGAATGCAAGTACTGTGGCATGAAGCATCCACCGAGGAAGTGTCCAGCATATGGAAAGACATGTATGAAGTGTCATAAAAAAAATCATTTTGCTGTTGTAATGCAAGGGTAGTGGACAGAATATGCAACGCAACCAAGCACAAGAGAGTTTACACAGTCAATGATGACAGTGACACAGAAAGCGATGCATTGTTTATGGGCTCGTTGTTTGGGGGTCACATATCAATACAGAATGCGTCTAAGTGGTGTACACATCTCAGAGTAGAGGGCAAACTGATACGGTTCAAGTGGGACACCAGTGCAGAAGCTAATGTTCTACCCCACAGTGCATACAAGTCTATGAAGAACGAAATACCATTGAGGAAAACGAACACCATATTATCGGCATTTGGTGACCACAGTATTAAGCCACTTGGTAAGATATACGTGCACTGTGGCACCAGTGGTGATGAACACATGCTGAGTTTTTATGTCACAGATGCGACTAACACTGCAATTCTAGGTCACCAGGCCTGTGAGACACTGAACTTGGTGTGCCGTGTGAATGAACTCAAGCCATCACACATGCTATCACGACCGATCACAAAGGAAAGCTCAGTGATGAAGTACAAGGATGTGGTCACTGGTATAGGTCAGTTTGAAAACCCATACCATATCGAGGTACGTCCAGATGTTCCGCCAGTCATACAACCGAACAGGAAGATACCATATGCACGACAAGAAAAGCTAAAAGAGACACTGGACAAGCTAGAAAAACAAGAAATTGTAGCTTGTGTCGATAGACCAACAGACTGGGTCAACAATCTAGTAATTGTAGAGAAAAAATACGGTTCCATGCGTCTATGCCTGGACCAGAAGCCACTTAATGAAGCCATCAAGCGTGAGCGATACAGTATACCCACTCCCGAAGACGTCCAAAGCAAACTGAGTGGCAAAACCGTGTTCACAATTTTAGACGAGGACAGTTATTGGCAAGTGAAGTTAACTGAAGAGTCGTCGTATCTGTGTACATTTAATACACCGTGGGTACGGTATAGGTTCCGCAGAACGCCATTCGGTATATGTTCAGCAAGTGAAGTGATGCAGAAACGCAATGAGGAGACATTCGGTAACATAAATGGGGTGCATGTTATTGCAGATGACATGATCATAGCTGCTGTAGATGACCAAGAGCATGCCATGATACTTCGCAGAGTCATGGACAGGGCCAGGGAACGAAATGTCAAGTTTAACAAGGACAAAGTCCAGTATAAGATCAAAGAGGTCAAATACATGGGAAACCTTGTGTCGGCTAAAACCAGATGACAAGAAAGTGGAAGCGATTGCCAATATGCCACAGCCAGAAGACAAACAGGCGCTGCAGCTACTGCTGGGTATGGTGAAGTACTTAGCACAGTACATTCCGAATGAATCGGATATCACTGCACCGTTGATAGATTTACTTTGAGAAGGAGTGATTTTTGACTGGCAACCCGAACATGAACAAGCACTGCAGCGGCTGAAGCGTATCTTGACCAGTCAGCCCGTGTTGAAATTCTATGATGTGAAGAAGGCAACCAAGATTCAGGCAGATGCATCACAGTCAGGACTAGGTGCATGACTCCTACAGAGTGGACAACCCGGAACGTACGCATCCCGTTCGATGACGTCAGCTGAGCAGAATTACGCTCAGATCGAAAAGGAGATGCTGGCAATTTGTTTTGCGTGCAAAAAGATTATGAGTACATATACGGCAAAGACACTGAAGTGGAAACTGATCACAAACCACTGGAGGTAATAGTACGAAAACCACTCTGCAAAGCTTCACCTAGACTGCAACGTCTCATGATACAGCTGCAACGCTACACGCTGAGTGTACGATACGTACCTGGAAAGTACGTGTACATGGCAGATACGCAAAGCAGAGCGTACATGGAAAACACTAACGGCGATGATCAGTTATATGATGAGGAAGTGGAAGTTATGGTGCATGTGCTAATTGGAAAACTTCCAGCCTCAGCTAAGAAGATAGACGAGATCAGGTCGGCAACAAATGCTGATGGTGAGTTGCAAAAGTTGAAGAAAATCGTGTATGGTGGTTGGCACACACACAAGAAAGGAGTACCGGAACAGTTACGCCAGTATCATGCTTTCAGAGATGAGATATATGAAGCCGACGAATTGCTCTTCTTGGGAGAGAAACTGATTGTTCCAGCCATATTGAGGAAGGACATGCTGCAGATAATACATGAGAGCCACCTAGGGGGGGGGGGTGCAAAGCTCGCGCACGATCTGTTATGTTCTGGACCGGTATGGCAGCGGATATTGAGAACTTTGTGTCAAAATGCTCAGTATGCCTTCACCACAAACGCAAGAATCAGAAAGAGCCAATGATTCCGCATGACATTCCAGAGCGACCTTGGCAGAAAGTAGGGGCAGATTTGTTCGAGATAAGTGGGAAAGACTATTTAGTCATCGTGGACTATTATTCGAAGTACCCTGAGGTAGCGCTGCTGTCCAACAAGACGGCAAGCACAGTGGTCACGCACTTTAAGAGTGTGTGTGCCCGCCACGGAATTCCAGAGGAATTAGTGACAGACAACATGCCATTTCAGAGTCGGGTGTTCCGCAAATTCGCGGCGGAATGGGGGATTAGTTTGACAACGTCTAGTCTGACATACCCCCAGTCCAACGGCTTAAGTGAGAGGGCAGTTTAGACCATGAAGCAGTTGCTCAGGAAAGATGCGGAGGATGGGAGAGACCCGTATGTAGCTTTGCTTGAGTATCGCAACACGCCTGTGTCTGGAATGACACATTCTCCAGCACAACTGCTGATGAGCAGAATGCTACGGAGCAAGCTACCGACAACAGGCAAGCTACTTCAGCCACAGACTGTGCAGGCACGTAGTCAGCTACACCACAGTCAGCAGCGTCAGAAGTTGTACTACGATCGTGGTGCGAAGAGCCTGAAACATCTGATTCCTGGCGACGTTGTTCGAATCCAGAAAGGGAAAGTGTGGGAACCAGCAATTGTAACTGGCACAGTAGGCGGCAATCCACGTTCCTACATTGTCAGCTGTGATGGACACGAATATCGAAGAAACCGCAGACGAATGAACCACCGCCTATCATCTTGCCACCAGATGATCAACAACCGTCCAGTCAAGGGTGCACTGTTCCATCTAGTTCGGTGCACACTGTTCCGTCCAACGTAGTACATGCTGTTCCATCCACTACAGCACATGCTCTTCCATCTACTACAGCACAAGCTGTTCCATCCACTACAGCACATGCTGTTCCATCCAGTGCAACACACACTGTTCCATCCAATATACGTATTACCTATCGCGGAAGGGTAGTGAAGATGCCACAAAAATATGCGGACTATCAGACCTGAACATTGTAACACTTGTAGTTGAACAGTTATTCTAGTTGTGAGTTTTGTTTAGATATATATACAGTTCGTAGTTTGTAGAAAGATTGTTGATCTAGAACGTTGATTAGTCAGCATCCGTTTAGTTATGCTGGTTCGCTCAGTAATCATTTACGTTTGTCTATTACCTGTTACGTCATAGGTACTGTCGTGACATTTGCAAATACATGTATTCACGTACATAGTAACTGAGAACTCGCTGAACTGAGGTACCATATCTATAGCAATAGAAATAACAAACAAGCATTTGAACCGTAACGATTAATATCTAGCATACAAGTATATGCTGTCTTTATTAGCTCTCACAATGTTTATAAGCATATGGAAAAGGGATATGTAACAGATTGATGCATACTCGTAGTTATGACGTCACGCGCAACTCGTTGTTATTGTCCACTCAGGTTCGAGTAATAAATTGGGCCCGGGAGATTCTCCCTCTCTGTACTTCCATGCCCGTAAACAGTGTCACGCTTTTACATGGTGTCTGAAGTTGCGGTATTTACGCGAGACCATGGAGCATCTTAGGCCCCCAGAACAGGTCAGAACGCTGCTGAACGCACCGATTATATGGCTTTGACGTATACTAGGACCCGTTGAAGCTAATAGCTCCTGGAGAAAGGGCAGTGAATATGTCTAAGTTTGCGGCTGCGCGGCGTTTGCGCGCTTCGCGCGGATATCCGGGCTGCAGATCGTCTAGGGTTCCGAGGTGGTGAAAATAAGTGTTATTTATAAACTTTGTCGTAACCATGAACGAACGTTAGTCATGAACCTACACTAACCATCATTTAACGTTTTTAAATGGTTAGAAACAAACGTGTGCTGCACATATATATATGCACCTATTAGAAACTAGTACTGAACGTTTAGGTAGGCCTAGGTAGGTTGTAACAATAAACGTTGTGCCAACCATAAATAAACGTTAGCCACGCATAAACTTGCACTAACAAATCTGCGTGGAATAAACGTTATAACTCTAGGATACTAT